TGGCTCAGAGGCCCACTCTGACATCCTGGGGGGTTCCTCCCAAGGGCCAGGAGGGGACTGCCCAGAAAGGGGAACAGAAGGGAAGGAAGCCACCCAGAACCGCCTGACAAGCACCACTGGCATCGCCTTCAGAGTCGAACACCTCTGAGCCCCAGTGTCACGGAGCCCTGGGGTCTTCACGTCCCTGGAATCTGAGAATCAGGCACCTGGTGCCGGGAAGAGACTCTGAGGCCATCGCGGGCCACTTCAGGCTCCAGACTGGACTCCCCGTCCCCCACAGCCCTAATGGGGGACTACGGGTCCCTGAGTCTTGAAATTTCCTTGAGTGAGCATCCGAAAACATAGTCCTAGATGGTACCAGAAGTCCTAGAACAGCACTGCACCCAGCGCTTGCGTCAATGGGAGAGATGCTCCCCACCCCGACGGCGGCCAGCCACTTGCCACAGGCCCCCCGAGCATTTGAAATGGGGCTGGTGCAATGGAGGAGGAGCTGAGTCATTAAACGTCAGTTCAGTTTCATTAATTTAAATATAAATAGCCACACGTGTAGGGTTGCGATAAAATACAGGATGCGAGGTTACATTTGAATTCCGGATAAACAACAGACAGTTATTTTTCCCAGTTTTAAAATTTTTCCCATATTTGCAGGAGACATACTAAAAACTGACTCCCTATTCCTCTGAAATTTAAACGTAACCCAGCGTCCTGTATTTCATGGGGCATCTAGCCCCTGAGGCTGGCAGCTACCCGGGTCGGCGGGGGGTGGGGGAGAGGGGTGGGCAGTGCATCTATAGGAACCAAAAGGCTGGGGAGCGCCCCCGACACGTGGGTTTGGAAATCCGGGGTTAAGCTGAGTGGCACAGGCAGAGGGCTGCACCGCCCCGTTCTGGCTGCGGCTCTGGTGGGTGGGGGTGGATGGGCACGCGCGCGACCCCACAGCAGCCTCCCAGAGCCTACAGAGCAAGGAGCAGAAGCAGCAGATGTGCCCTGGGCCCAGGCGCACGCCCCCTCCCTGCGCGTGCGCACCCAGAGCCCGGTCGGGAGGGGCGTGGGGGGCAGGGCGCCGCACACCTCCGGCGGCCCGAAAGGAGAATTATTATAAACATTTACAACAACGTAGACAAAACAGTCTATTGTAGCGGCCCCTCCGCCTCCCCGGAGCTGGGGCGAGGTTGGCATGGCGCGGGGAAGGCTTGGGCCCCCGCCAGGACGCCCTCTGTTTGCACAAGCGGAGGTGTTTTCGTCTGAGGGCCGTCTGCGTGCTGTGGCCTTTGTCGTGTCTGCTACTGAAATTTCCTGTCTCTGTTATTCTCTTCCCCAGCAAGACCATCTGAAACCCAAAACTTTTATTGCCCCTTTAAAAAAGGCTTTACAGCTCCCCATCTGCTCCATCCCTGTCCCGCTCCGGAGCTGCGATTCTAGCTGGGGAAGCGCTGGGTGCCCAGCGCTGCTGCAGGAATTCACCCGGGGCTCAGCCGCAGGGTCTTGGCGGGAGGAGCTGAGGGAGGAGGGCCAGGTATGTGGGCAAGACTGATTCTGCAGAGTCGGCAGTAAGCCCCAGGGTGTAAAACCCGGCTCGCTGGTTAACTGGAGTAACAGGGTTAGCAGCGAGCGACACAGGGCATGTGGCACCTAGGGCCTTGGCTGCTGTCCTGGCCACCCCCTCGCGGTTCCGTGTCCTGGGGGCCTGGCTGTTCCAGCCTCTGCCCCTGGTGTCCCCACCTGTGACTGGGAGTGGCAGCCTCTCCCGCCAGCCCCTCGGGCTTGTTAGGGTGAACTAAATCAGAGGCTGGCCGGACTGGCAAGGTCTTGGGAGAGTGAAGAGGGCAGAGAGGAGGCAGGGGGCCGGGCTGGTGGTGGCGGTCAGGCATAGAGGGGAGGAGGCAGGCCTGCGGGCCGTGCCGCCCGGCGCTCTTTTCCCCTCTGCGGCCATTGCCTAGTCTTCTCTGCTTCGGTTTCTCCATTTGTAATAATGCCCACTTCACGCGGGTTTTGCCAAGATTAAATGAGATAATTGAATGCAAAGTGCTTAGCAGAGTATGTTTTAAATGGCGTCATTGTTACTTTCATTAGCAATGGTCACAGGCAAGCCAGGATGTAGTAGAGGGGTCCTTACCATCAGGGGACATTCACCCCGCCAAACACCCCCATCTGACAAGAAAACAAAATGCTTCAAACCAAGTGTTTATTATGGATTCAGGAGTTAAGCAAGGCAGGCTGCCTGGAAGAGGCAGGCTGGAGACTGAAACTAGAAAAGCCAAGTGGACTGAACCACGTAAGTGTGCAGATACCTGGCTCTCGGGCCTCACCTGGGATGGCTTCACAATTCCAGTTTGACTGTCTCCCGTGCCCTGACCCTCTCTCCCCGACCTCCTGCACCCTTCCTGACAGCAGCGAGAAAATCAGTGCTGACCCCATGGAGAGGCAGGTGCTGTCCCCGGGGCTGCCCCTGCTTCCGTCGCTGGTGTATGCGCCAGGACAAGATGGAGAGAGTCCAGCCCGGCAAGTTCAAGGTTCAAAGAGGGAGGAAGCAGCTGGCCGCACTGGGCTCAGATGAAGCACCACCACCTTCCCAAGTGGCCACCGGGAGCCACACAGCTTTCCCTGGCCCCTCGGGTTCACCTGCAACCAGCAGACCCTCAGTCCGCACAGTCTAGGGAGGGCAGCAGAGACAGGGCTGAGGAATGAGGGATGGGGGTCAGTGGTCCAGAGAGAGGGTGGAAGATCAAATAGGGTCCCTGCGGGTACTGCAGGGGCTTAAGGGCTGGGACGGCTGTGCGCAGGGCTAGGTGAGTGGGTGGGCTGCGTCCCGAGGGTCTAAAAGGCTGTCGCTGTTGTGGAGGGACTTTAGGGAGTCGGGTCCCACTGCCCAGAGAAGGCGGGCAGTTGGGAGAGACCAGAGGCTGCTGTCCAGAAGGAGGCAGCAGGGAGCCTGGCGAGGGCAGAGGGAGGGAGACGAAGGAGGAGAGGGTGGCCTGAAAGGGGCCAGGCGGTGGCCTCAACAGAGCTGGCAGACCCTGGCCTGCTCCCCTGGCCTCCTCTCAGGCTCCGGGAAGCGTGTCTGCATCTGGGGAGAGGGCGTCAAGGTAATTGTCCAAAGCTTCTGAACTGGTTTTGTAAAGCAGCAGGAGTGCAGGCCACCCCCAGTCTCCTTGGCCTCTCGCATTCCTGTGTCCTTTGTCGGGGGTGGGGTGGGGAGGCGGGAGGTGAGGACAGGCTGGCCCAGAGGGCAGCAGGGACCACGCACGCCAGCTTGATGCCCAGAGAGGTCGGGAGGCGTCTGAGACCCTTTGAAGTCTGGAAGCTCAGCGCCAGCCGGAGCGCCCCACTCGGCACCCTGCTCCCCGAGCTCACTCAGCACGTGTGTAAAGGAATGAATGGGAGGGTTTTTCCATGTCTGTCTTGTTGAGGGCAGGCTGGCGGCTCCTGGAAGGGCCCACACTTGGTAGATGGCTAGTTAGTGACCTCAGAGGCTTTGGCCTTGACCCTTGCTGACCCATCCACCTGGAGAGGGTGGTTGAGCCCATGTGCCAGGAAAGGGACGGGCTCTGGAGTGCCCACTCCCCAGGGGCCATGTGACCTTGAGTGACTTCAGCTCCCAACACCTCTAGAAGCAGGGAGCCTGCTTAGTCCGCTGGGCCGTCCAATGGGACGATGGCAGTCACGGCACCTCTCCCCTGGGCCCCCCACTGCAGACCACCTGCCCGGCTCAGGAAGGCCTGCAGAGGCGCACAGGACCCTCCATCGCACCAGCAAAAAGGCGCCGTGCTGTCGTGTGGCCGTGAGCAGCGGCTTGGCCCAGCGCCCCACCACGTGCGTTGTGGAGAAACAGGATGACAGGCCCAAGCCAGTCCTCAAGGGAGCCCCTCTAGCTGGGGAGACGGAGGTCCCCAGCCAGGAGGCAGCCAGTGGACGGCGGTGACCGCCCCAAGTTCAGGGCCAGGCCGCACGGGCCGCAGGCCAGGAACGGGCCAGCCTGGACCTGAGACCACGCACCGGCTTAATCGCCCCTGCTCTCCCCTTGGAGAAGGCGGGCCTCTCGTGCATTCACCAGGTTTTGTTTTCCTAACAGCTCGGCTAACAGGAGCCTGCTGGCCGAGGGCCCCAGCCGGAGCCAGGCTATCAGGTAGCTGTGGTCACATCTGGAAGGTGTTTGGCAGAGCGTCCGGCCCCCCGCACCGCAGCCGCCAGCCTCAAAGCAGCAGCTGATAAGCAGCTCCAGGAAGCTGCCGGCTCAGACCAGCAGCCTGACTCCCCGGGGTGGGAGAGGAGGGGCAGAGTGGGGGCACTCTGGCCTCAGGCTTCTAGCTGGGACAGAGACATCCGCACAAAAGGCCACCTCTGAGGCCGCCAAGGGCTGGCTGATTCCCCCGCACACGCCTGGGCCCCGCGATGCCTGCATCCTACGAACGGTGGTCACCACCCCGACGCCGGACTTGACAGCCTGGAGGGGCTCCCGCACCCGTGATCACTTCCTCGTCCCAAGCCTCTTGGCCAGCGCCCCGCACAGGTGGGAAGGCGGTGGGTCAGGGAGGAGGGAGGAGTCTGACGCTGACTCTTGGGCCTCCCAGCCGCCGGCATTTTGGTTCCCATGTGATGTGCGCTCACGTCACTTTCTGGTGAGGGACTCCTCCTTCTCCTTTATTGTCATCATTCTTACTGGCTTCCGACTGGCGCTGAGTTCAGCCAGTGCTTCACAACGGGCCACGGCTGCCCCAGGACCCCGTGGGGGTCAGTGGTCCCAGCTGCCCTGCGAGAGCCTGCGAAGCCTGCTTGCTGGCCACGTTCTGGAGGAGTGGGTCAGAGCAAGCTTGCTGGCTGTGTTATTCAATCTCCTACATCCTTACTGAGTAGCTGCTGTCAGCTGCTGAGAGGGGTGTTAGAGCTCGCACTCAGGAAGGGACAGCCTCTGGAACGGAGGAAGCTGGGGCAGACAGACGTCCCCAGAAAAGAGGAAACGCAACCTTTATGCCACACTCTACCCCTAAAATAACTCCAAAACCCAGAAAGCTTCTAGCAGAAAACAGAAGAAAAGATACTTACGACCTTGGCTTAGGCAGAGATTCTGAGCTACGCCACCAAACATGCAATCCATCCCCCAAAATTCATAAACTAGACTCCGTCAAAATCTTAAATGTTTGCCCTTCAAAAGACATCATTACGAAAATCGAAAAGACAAGCGACAGGGAGGGGACGTTCGCAGAACACACGTGTGGTAAAGGACTTGCATCCAGAGCGTATAAGTACATTTTCAAAACTCAATGACAAAAAGGCCGCTCAGGAAGAAGCGGGCAAAAGACTTCAACAGACACTTCACCGAAGGTTTATGAACGGCCGAGGAGCCCGTGAAAAGACGCGCGCCCTGTTTCTTCTCATTAGTTACCTGGGAAACGCAGATCAAACCGCGCTGAGACGCCGCGGCACACCCAGTGGCGTAGCTACAACCCCAATTCCATATGAAGAGAAGCATCCTATTTCTAGAAGAGGTGAACCTTGGGGATGCTGAAACAGGCTGGCGGCTGCCTGGGGCTGGGGGTGGGGAAGCACGGCTTGGCTACAGATGGGCCCGGGGTGGGGTGACAAAGCCCCCGAGTGTAGTGAGGGTGACACAGAATTGCAGGTTTACCAAAAGCTCCCTGAACTTAACATGGGTGGACTTATGTGTGTACATTACACGTCTAAACCTGTTTTTCAAAAAAATCTCCCCCTCTAATGGTTTTGTTATTTCACCTTGTAGTTCTGCCGAATCTTGAGATTTTGTTACCAAGTAACCAAAGGAGGAATCGTTACACGTTCCCAATAAATCAGATGTTTTATTATTAAGCCGTGAATGAAGCGCTATCTCTAACAGTTCCTTCTGCCTGAAAGTGTATTTTTCTGACGTGAATGCAGTCCTCTCAGCATCCTCTGGTTTAGTATTTGCATAAACGCTTCCTCTCTGTCTTTCTGCGTCTTTATGTTTTAGACACGTTTCTTAAAAATACCAGCTGGGTTTGGTCCTTTTTACCCGGCCTGAAATCGCTGGTTTTTAACTATCACGTCCTGTTAGTTTCTGCACATTGTAATTGCCGACGTAGTTGGACGGATTTTTATCACCTTTTCTGTCTTTTTCACGTTCCGTTTTCTGCCCCTTCTTGCCTTCTTTTGGATTCTTGCGGTTTTTTTCCTCCCCGGTGGATTCGAATTTACTCACTCTGTTTCTAGTCTTTCAGTGGTTGCTGATCAAAGTCTATGCTAAGTACTTTTTCTTCTTTTAAAAAAAAAACTTTTATAAATAAGCTTCATTAACATTTCCAAATTTTTTAAAAGTGCTTACTAATTTTTTTTGGTTTGTTTCAATTGTACAATGTTCTCTGATTATAAACACGTAGGGGTTTTTCTCTTTTTTTTTTCCCCTCTTTTTCTTCTTCTTGAACATTGCAGGGACTCTCGACACTTCGTTCCGATGCCCCGCCCCTAACCTGAAGGCCGTTACTACTTGTGGGTTTGCACTGGCTTCATTTAAACCCCACGTGGTCTCTTCACCTGTACTCCCGTTTTGATTTGCCCACATAGACAACAGCCTCTTTCCCTCTCATCCTTTCTAACATTCCTGCCACCCGTCTGGGCTTACTTCCCTTCTGCCCAAATCCGTCCTGTAAAACTTCCTCCGGCGCGAACTGTTTGCGGAACACTTTCCTGGCTTCCGTCTTGCCTTCGCCTTGCCCCTTCTCCCTGGGTGCTGACTTCCCGGCTCCGAGGCTTCTGCTCTCGGCGGTTTTGACGACGTCACTTCTCTATTCCAGGCTCCCGTTTTTCCTACTGAGGAGCAGGCTCTCCGCGTAACTGTCCTGGCCGGTGCGCTGTGCTTCCTCTCCGATCCGCTCCCAGGCCTTCTGCTGGCCTCTGATGGTCTGCGTTTTCACTCTGAAGTGACAAGGTGTGGAGCCCTAGCACTCATCTCGCCTGAGGGTCGTTGGGCTTCTTACATCTGTGGGCGACTGCCTTTCATTAGATCTGGAACAGCCTCAGCCTTAATGCTCTTCGGACGCTGCCCCTGCCCCCGAGGTCTCTTCATTTCCTGCAGCTCCTGTTAGCCACATCCTTGGCTTCTCACTCTGTTCTCTCAGTTTTTTCGTATTTCCCAGTGTAATCTTCCTAATTCCTTTGGCCTTATCCTTCAGGCCACTAATGCCTCTAGCTCTGTCTAAGCTGTCCTTACACCATCCTCCGGCTTTTAATTTCCTTTTTGTAAATTGAAGTACAGTCAGTTACAACGTGTCGACATCTGGTGTACAGCACAGTGTCCCAGTCATGCATACACACACATATATTCATTTTCATATTCTTGTTTTTTAATTTCAAGTGTTCTGGTTTTTTTCATCCCAGGAGTGTGTTCGGTGCCAGTGTACCCAAGTCCCTTTTATTTCTCCTGTAAAACATGTTCATTTTGTTTTGTGGATCTGCTGGTTCCCAGTCTGAATTTTTGGCTGATCTGACTCTACCACCTACTGTTTCTGTCAGCTCTTACTCATGTGCCTTGTTTCCTTGTGTCCATGGTGAATTTTTACTCGGGCCGTGGAAACTTGTGCACATTTTCTGAGGCTTGAGATAAAGGCAGGCTCCTTTAGAAAGTGTTTGCAGTCTGAGAATCCTTTTAACTAAAAACATCCCTCGTTTGAGGTTTGGGGGCAGTTAGGGAACCTGAGTTCAGACCGCGCACACACCCGGGGCCAGCTTGTGATGCCGGATCCTCACAGCACTGTGCGTCCGCTCCTCGGCCCCAAGGCAGGAGACGCACCACCTGGAGGGCGGCTTTTCCAGTTGACCTGGATGCTGAGGTTGGGCCCTCCGGAACCCTGGATGGGTGGAGGTGGTCTTCTGTCGGGCCCCTGACATGACCAGGCTCTGTGCTTCCTCTTCTGTCCCTCGGCCCAAAGAGATCCAGAACAATGATGCTCTGGTTTACCTGTGAGCGTAGAAGAGTTTCAGCTCTCCAAATCCAAAAAGAGAAGACAGACTTTTCTTCGACCATCACAACCAAGAAACACCAGAACCAGCCTCAAACCTGTCTCAACCAATCGGTGACCCCCCGCTTCAGCCAGCCAGTCGGTGGTGGTCACACGCCAGAAACCACACTCCCTCAGCTGAGGAACACCCAGGTCCCCCCAGGCCTGACACCACTCCTGCTGAAACTCTGTGCCAGGCCAGCAGGGAGCCTCGCTTGGGGTGGTGGGCCTCAAAATTGCGGCTCTCCCTGGCACAATAAACAATAAAGTCCCCTTGTTTGGTCTCTGATGCCCCCACACTTCAAAGCAAAGCCAGCTTCCATATGCCATGTTTCTCTCTCACGTTCCTCCTCCCGGCCCGAGGGTTCCGGACTTCCTAGCCAGCCTGAGACAGCATCCAAGATGGACATCTTTGATTTTAGTTTAACTTTTAAATTTTTTTTGTTAATGGAGGTACTGGGGATTGAACCCAGGACCTCATGCACGCTAGGCATTTACTCTACAACTGAGCTGTTCCCCCCAACCCCCCAGACATCTTTTATTTTATCCAGAGTTTGTAGCTGCTTTTAAGGGAGGAATTGTAGGTTCTTAACTGGCCGCACTGACAGGAGCAGAAATCTTTCGCCTTTATTTCACAGATGAAGGATCTGAGGCGCGGCGCCCCCCGGTGAAGTGAATGCTCCACAGAGGACTCAGGTGAGAGCTTCTGGGCTGAGTATCTCGGGATCCAGGGAGGGCAGAGGTCACGGGGCCGGCTGGCCTCCCTCCGCCAGTGACGCTGGTGGTCATGATGATGGAGTTATGAGCTGTTCCACTGGCAGGCGGCGCCATCCTGACTTTGCAAACCCAAGCACCTTTGCCTACAGGTAAAGCCACCCCGTGGCCTGGGCTGCGGACAAGCGTCAGCCCGACGTTCCGGGGCACTCAGGACGTCAGTGCTTCCCACCACTCTGCAAGCCAAGCAGGGCTTGGCCTCTTCCTGTTACTCCAAGGGTCGGGGGTCCCCAAAAGGGCCCCAACACCTGTGTCCCTTGGTCAGCCGAGCTGCTGGGGAGGGGTGGGCTTTCCGGATGATGTCACTTGGGGAACAGCTGGGCACAGCTGCACGCTGAGGACACAGCCGCGCCTGGAACACAGGGTCAGACGATGTTCCCAGCACGGGCCCCGCTCCAGAGGCCAGGCCAAGGGACGGCGTGTCCCTGGGGCTGGCTGGCCCCGGGCCCAGCCTGACAGAGCAGCAGGGGGAGGGCAGGGCCCCGAACCGGAGGAACGTGCGCTTCCTCTCCAGACCCCCTCCCTGAGCGGGGTGCTCTCCGGGGGCGGGGCAGCTTGCTGGCCCCAGAGGGGCTGGGGAACAGCTGGAGGGGCTTCGGGCTTCTGGAACCCTGCGCTGCGGCTCCCATCCATCTGCTCAGGTGCCGCCGCTGGGGCCTGAGGGCTTGGTGTGGCCCGTGCCCAGAACCCTCACACGGGCCACCGTGGGCCCAGACTTGCTCAGTTAAGAACTGCCACTCCTCCAGCCCCCGCCCCGAGCAAGATGCTGGCGACCAGGTCACCAGCCACCCCCAGCCTGAGCGCCTGCTTCACAACCCCCCTCGGCACCTGCTGCCGGCCCTGCCCAACCTGCCTCCTCCTAGCCTCCCAGCAGGCCGGCCTCACCTGCCCCTGGCTCTGCCTCTTGTTGCAGCCCCCACTCCTGGCACGTACCTGAAACCTCCATGAAGCCTCCGTGTGTGTGTGCGTGTGTGTGCGGGCACGCGCACATGCACACTTGGGGGCTGGGGGCTGAGTGGGGGGATGGATGTGGGTGGCAGGGTG